AGAGCAGCCATGACCCAAACACTTTCCACTAGTAGCTGGTCACTGGTTGAATATAATCCTTTTTTGATGAACTGCTGCTAGAGACCCGTCTAGTCTCTCCCTCAACGTTCTCAGTCAACCCGACATTTCTGGTGGCGTGTGGCAAATTCTGATCGAATATTCCTTGGGTACACCCAACCCTGGACTGAGAGATGCAGCATTGAAGACCTCAGCTATAGTGATTTGGTCATAGCCCAAGTCCCGTATCCCTGTAATGGTGCTGAGCAGTAGCTGGTCGTGTTCTGCTCTAAAGGAAGGTGGTCGATGGGCGTTTGGTGTGGCTCACGTGTAGTGGCACTGTGCGGATTCTAGGAGTTCGATGAGTGGTGGTGCCCTCGTCAGTACGCTTCTAAGCTGCTTGTCGACGTACATGGCAACTCCGCCCCCTTCCCTGCGATTTTTGTCTCGCCTGACCAGAACCACATCGCTTACACTGACTTCCCTGTCTGTAATATTGGGTTTAGCCACGTTTTTGCCAGTGCTGTTATTTTGGGGCCCAGGTGTGATTGAGTTCACGTAGTTTTCCTTTCAGTCCTCTCACACTGATTTTATAGCGACGGAAAGTCTCATCGCCTCACCCTGTTGTGGGGTGGTAAACCCAGTGTAGGCTGATGGTTGAGGAGTTAATGTCGGAACTACTTTACCGCTTCAGACGAAAACGGCGTGTTTTTTTCAATTAAGACACGTGGGTGAGGTTGGTTGTCATAATAATAATAATTTATATTTCGTATAAACGTGTGAGTTTACAAGAAATGCATGTCATTTTTACTGGCACGATCAGTAATGTTACAAATTGCAATCCTGAAGTACCATAAATTAATACTTTTTCAAAAGTTTAAATTGTTCAATTATTGTACAAGCAATCAGAACAGGTGCTTATAAATGTTAAATTGTAAACCGTTTACTAAGGTCACCGTCAAAGTTGAGCGACAACCCAAACTTCGTTCCGTTTCCTGCTGTTAGTTATGGTCAACCAGTGAACAGCGTGTATCTGGCTGAGTGCGCAGCTGCGAAGTGGGATAAAATGCAATTATGAATAATACATTATTGGAAGTATATTTACGAGATAAATACAACGAGAAAAAGCTATATAGTACTTGAAATGATAGTATACATTTGCAATGTCTAAAGCTAACTATATTGGTCTAAGCATGGAAACTATCACGTTTCCGATGAAAATATACCTTCGTTCAAATATTGGTGTTGTTGTGTTTTAAATCAAAGCAACCAGACTTTGGGCAAGCAACAAATATGAACAAAGAGCAAGTTTTAGCTTTAATAATGGCCTAGGTAGTTAACACAAAGTAGAGTATAATAGCGCGTAAATAAAAAGATTATATCGAGGTAGATAAGTGATACTTAAGTGAGTAGCGAATTCAAAGATCTGGAAAATTAGAACCCGTAGGACAAGCTGACCTGTAAGAAGTTTCACGGATTTCTGTAGGGCCCAATGGATAGCATCTTGACAAGAAGCTGAAAAGGCTTGTAGATGGCAGGGGCAAAGGCAGTCTTCTTATAATTAAGATTTGTACAGCCATTGTTTTTCCCTTCTTGTTAAGGGTCCAGAGCAATGTTTAATTCTCGAGGTGTGGAAAAATGCATGTTGCTCTCCTGCAGATTGGAGTGATTCACAATTGTGACCACTACCATATCTGCTGATCAGCGTGGGCCACCCTCTTTTCTTTTCGATGTTAAGCTCTGTGATATTTTTTACAAACTGTAGCTGCAGCATTGCATTGCTTTAAGCTCACCCCAGTCATACAGCATGCTGCACATTGATAGCCCTCATGACAAGTGCTTCCTGTTAGGTCACCAGATGCATCGATTTCTGAGGACATTCTTAACAGTATCACTCTTATACATATATACACGTATATAAGGATTTGTTACAATTGCCTAGGAAATTAAGTTTCGCTAAAAATTTATAAAGTATAGAAGTCTCTAGTATTACAGCAACTAACTTATGGTCTTTTTAGTAGAGTTAAATGGGTAGCGGAAAAATCGGTGATAAAATTATATAGAATGATCCTGAAGAAACAACAGGTTAACAGAACTAATTATGCTGAATCTTTATGACCGATTTTCATATGGTATTCGTCAGACATTGCAAAGTAACCCTTCAACTTATGTTATTGGATAAAAGGTATTAAGAAATGTTATAAAATTATACTATTTAGAAAAGTATATGAGAAAGGGTAGTTATTGACTGAGTAAAGTCATTTCGACGCAAAAAGTTCGAGTGTATTATTGACTGTATATGTATGTAAAATATTAAAAGGTGTGGTTGCTAATATAACTGTTTCTAGAGTTGCTTATACTAACACAACTTATTGAAGATTATAGAGAATAGAAAATCAGTAAATCAGTTAAAGGTAAGCTGCGTAAGTAGTAGAGTCGAGTTATACGTAAGTGACAACATTGAAGACTGGACTGGCTTTGATTTACCACTCTACCAACAGTTGTGGTCTTTCAGACTAGTATGGGTGGACATGTTGATGTGTCTGTCTAGGCTCTGTTTGAACCCATTGAAGTTTTCACAACAGCTCATTTTATTTTTATTTTATTTTGATTACAGCTTGATTCCACACCGTATTTTCAGTACAAGTATGGAATTTTCAGCATGGATATCGGTAGCCCAAATTTCAGGCCGACCATAGATATCGGATGTGCGCCGGCAGGGGATCGAACTCCGGACCATGTGCATGGTCGGCGAGAGTCCTAACCACTGTGCCACCGACGCACAGGTGGTAGTTGGTTCCAAAGAGTGCAATATTTAATGGTGAAAACGTTTGTCCTAATGGATTTTCTGTGGGTAGCCATCTTGACAAGGTAGTCGTGGTTTCGCAGCTGATATGATTTAATATTTTCCCACGTTATGGATGAGTTACTATAAGAATGTTTCCTAATGACTTTGAATAGTAGAAATAAGTTGCACTTCAATCATGGATAAACCGAGAGATCCGTAGACTACTGTGTCGTAAGCGTAAATGCCCGAACTCCTTTATTACACTTAGGACTTTTGAGACCAGGAAGTCATACACCACTGCTAGCAACAAAGTTATTGCAGAAGTTTGAAACACATCTGGCTCAAAGTGCAACTGTTCAGCATAAAACATTTTCGTACATTAACTTTAGGAACAAGATATACAGCGGGGTCAAAAGCTCGAAACTGACAATGACATGATCGAAGAGGACCAGCATAAAGCAGAAGCCATGGCAGACGGCTTCTCCGAAGTCTTAACGCAGGAGTCAGCACTCCCCACAGCATCAGCTCTGGTCGCATCAGAGGAACATAGGATAGACTCAGTTGACGTCGACCAAGATATCGTGCCTAAGTGCCTGGAGAAACTAGACACAGGGATATCAATGGGTCCTGGTAGTCATGTTCCAAGGCTTCTCAAGGAGCTGTCGACCCATATAGCCAACCCATTAATTACGATCTTCAGGCTACCTCTCCTGAGTGGTGTTGCCGCGCTATTATGTAATATGCGGAATACAGCTTATTGTCTGAAGCATAACATGGCTTTCGAGGAAACCTCTCTTTCCTATCAGGACTTCTCATGGCTAAGGAAGGCTGGATCAAGTCAAGGGACAACCGAAGACCTGTCGACGTCGTCATAGAAGACATCAGAGAAACCCCTGACAAAATACCTGATAGAAGACTGTTCACGAAATTGGAAAGTTGTGAAATCAAAGGCGGTTCACTAAGCTGGATTGGAGAACTCCTCAAAGGTAGGAGACAGAGAGTCAGGATCAACTAAGTACTCTTCTCCCGGACAAAAATATATAGTGGAACGACACATGGAACTGTACTCAGGCTCCTCTTACCTATTTTGTATACAGATGAGTTATATGTGCTCACCGATTCCCCTATGTAAATTTATGTTCAAATGAAAATATAAATTATTATTATTACTATGGTCCAATACGCAGATGACTTTTAAATTTGGAGAGAGCTAAATGGCGATGAGGATACCCTCAAGTTGCTTAGAGATTCCAACAAATTGTTGGAGTGGTGCAAACAATGGATGCTCCCGACCAACGTAGCGAAATGTGAACCACGCGCATAGGACACACAAGGGTCAGAACCTACGAATTAGTGGGGATAACACTTCCATCAGATCAGATTAATTTGCTCCGGGGTTCGTAATAAGTCAGGACATAAAAGGTACAGCTCATTGTCGCGCGGTGTTAGCACACGGTTTCAGATTTCTATGGACAAGACACAGAGCCTTTACTAGAATCACCATAGATGTGTTCACCTCTTTATGTATGGTGAGGTCAAGACTGGAAAAATGTATCCAGACTGCCAGTCATCTTCCTTAGAGGGGATTCACATATTCCAGAGAGTGTTCAAAGGAAAGCAACACGTGAGATTCTTGGCATGGCTGATTGATCATACGATGAAAGACCAAACAGTCTATGTCCCTTCTCCCTGTCATAGAGTAGGCAGAGAGGAGATCTAATCACAATATTTAAAATTTTAAATAATGACAGCGGATCTGATCTATTCTCTCTTCTCCTCTCAAATGAGTCGGGACACTCCAGGGGACATAGCGGGACAGTTCAAAAGCTAAGGTGAAAGAATATTGTGTTTCATTGCTGGTTCTCATATATATATTTGATTGTAGCTTGAAACCACACACTATTTTCGGTACAAGTATGGAATTTTCAGCATGTGATATCTGTAGCCTAAATTTTGCATACCGACCATTGATAACAGGTATGCGCCGTCAGGGGATCGAATCCCGGGCAATGCGCATGGTCGGTGAGAGTCCTAACAGCTGTGCCACTGACCCACAATGGAGTCACCGACTCCTGGAACCGACTTCCAGAAGAATTGGTATCAGCGCCCTGGATTGAATCATTCAAGAGGAGTTTCGACAAGCACAGAAATTCGCTAGAAAAGTATTAGCATAGGTATTAAGCCTTTTATCCTCAATCAACAAATCCGTGTCTAAATTGAAAGTTCTCACTCATTAATGTACTTTGAGACTTTTCATTACCACCTACAAAGAGATCTGAAAACCAAATTATCAAGAATAAGTCATAGAACGTGAATAAGTATGATGTGCAAGTGAAAGGAAAACGACCTTGGAATGTCTTAAAATTCTGAAGTTTCATTTGTTCCTCTATCTTAAGGCGGAATTTTAAATCGTACACCGAGATACTGGAATGGAAAACGAAAATGATGATACTGTTCATACATCTCATGCCCCTGCAGGTACATTCTCATAACTTTTCTTTACCCAGTCTTAAGTGAAAGCTGGGGGAATGAGAATTGTGAAACATGCCAGAGAGCATGAAGACAAAGCATTAACGAAATCGGAGCTAGCACAACAAGCAGCAGAATACAATTCTAGGTAGTTTTTGTTATATATAACCGTGTCTTTAGCATCTTAGGGGTTTCGCCCCACGATATTCTCAGTAAGGTAAGTCGTGTTTAATTATTATTAATTACCTTCGGGCCAACTGCATACATTTCGGGACTAAACTCCTAGGTCGCATTGAAGACATCGTAATGGTTTTCTGAACTCTCTGCCGAGACGTCCGCTCTGGACTCTAGGTCTGCCCTTTAAGTCTCTGAACCCGACCGTAGGATTCGATAGTGCACATTAAGTTCGTAGCCACGTATGTGACGTACCTGATATACCCACAGCTTGTTGCAACGAACAACACCCTCGTCCCAAATCCAAGAATTATGATATCAGAAAGCAGTTGTACTTTAAAAAACATATTTGCTAATAATCAAAAATGTGTTTATAATGTAAGGACACTATAGTGTATGTATACATACCAGTTAAAAATAATTTGAAACGAATGTTAACAGTCTGATACTTTCTGCATACTCTGTTTCCTTTGTTCGGATCAACGATGACGCAATGTAAACATGCCAATCGAGACAGTCGTCGTTTTCGTACCCATGCTTTGAGTCTGTCACGACTGGTGTTGAACCACCGTTGAATAGGCACTTTTCCTAGACGCTGTTACCTATCTTTCTGCCTTAGCATTGCTTTGCTGGTATAAAGTGTTTACGATACAGTGCCTGAAAATTACAATGTAATAAAATTCACGGATCGTGTGCTTGGAAGTCATTTTGTCCTTGGTAGCCGTCCACGATAATTGAGTGTTGTACGTGTCCTCTAGCGATACATTCATGATGCGACTGTGACTTAACTTTGGACGCATTTGAGTCAACCAAAGTCCCTAGGTAAGCAGATACAACCCGATTTCATCCCTAAGGATGACATGACAGCGTCGCTGTCCAACTGCCATCTGATTCTAATCATGACCCCAAAAACTTGAGGCGTGCTGAGCAACCAGACCGGCGGCCATCTGTCTCCTTATTCTTTGCACACCTACAAGTAATAGTTGCAGTAAAATGTGACTTACATGTTAACTGGTGGCATATTGGAAGTCGTCGATGCAGACAAGTTGAAATGTGTTGTTAATGAACTTGAGAACATACCTTTCATTTGTGGTTGTTAGGAACTGGATGTATAGAACTGAAAGTCTTTGTTAGCTCACAACGGGAACTGGTAATTTACAAGGGCTACTTGAACTGAAACTTTTCGTGTCGGCTTAACACTGAAGATTAGCGAAGGATTACAGCCCACTGGTTCACTCTTCATTGACTTGCAGACTCAATGTTCTCAGATGGTGAGCGTAGCCGTTCGGATGCGATTTGAACTCTTATGGCTTCGTCATAATTATCTAAAAAGGAACGTGCCTACAAAATGTCAACTTACTGTAGCGCCCCAACTAAATAAACTCATAGGTCATAATACCTGGTGCAGCCTCTGCAAATTCCTTCACTTCTGTAAATGAAAACGACCGTGGGATGACCAAAGATTTGCCGACCACCCACAAATCAAAAACTATCATAATCTCATCCAAAGCCGGGACTTTGTTAACAACAAACTGTTTAGTCATCACCAAAGGATGTATCACTATTACATCCAAAAATAGAGACATATGAAGAAATGAAGTATTTATACAAATGTGTGTGCATATTAGAATTAATGAAGCTGGAGACAAAATAATTCACTCCAGTTGATTGTGTCCTTGGTATCGCATAACTGTGGCTGTATGTAAACTCATTAGAAGGCATAAAATTACAACAACTTGGGAGTATGTAATATGGAAATAATAACTGAGTGATTTACAAAACTTAGGCTTATGCACTTTGCTTTAATTTCTCTGAAACTAAGTATACATATTTCACCCCAAAAGTTGTCTGCCTGAAAGATCCTAATATCCCTAGAATCCAATGGTTGCTTAAAAATGCCCTGGATTTCTCATGAGCACGAAATTTGAATTGAGTTTCGTCTAGTATTTCACAAACAACTCGCATATTGCCCATCGTAACGCAATTGTCTGGGGAAACCGTCCTTACTCGAAGTTGGGAAAATGTTGCAGTTTGCCTAGTAATGCCTACAGGTGCACTAGTAAGAAGCCCCCTTTTCGAGAATTCAGCTTCCACTAAGCATCTTTCGCCTAGACATATACCTATTTGGACTAGAGGGTCATTGTGATTTGTGACTGGATTCTGAAGAAAACGTATGTTAGTCTCAAATGGGAAGCGAAAGAAACTATCTAACGCTCCGTAGTTTCTTACCTCCTCACACAAGCGAAGCAAGTCATCCTCAAATAATGGCTTCAAGTTCCGTAAAAATTTCATCACATTATTTGTATCATCTAGGTAAGCAAAGAATGCTTCAGATGACTTAAAATATATCAGGCTGGGAATAAATAATAAAAAGCTGTCACAGAAGCAAGAAGGTAAAGTGTCTTTCAAGTACACAGCTGCTTAATATAAAAGAAATAGTTTGCACTCAGTAGCTTTCCATCCGTCGAACTTTTAATATGCCACACTTACGTTAGGATTCACAAGGCGTCAGCTTATGTGAGTTAACAGTATTCAAAATAGTATTAGTCAGATCATTTTGCCTGCCTGTGACCATCACTTTCCGCAAGCCGTTGAACTTTCGAACTACTCGTAGGTATATGAAATGCATACTGTCTAGTGAAAAAGCAGCTATCATGTCTACATGCAATCTCTCAAAGTGAGATTTACCCTTATGATGACCTGACTGAGTTTGCCTTCAGTAACCGGCGTCTGTTCTCAGAGCGGCACATAGGGTTGGGGAAACCATGCAATTATTTACGCGATAGCATGTAACCTCACATTTGTCACATCCTAGGGTTGAATTGTGACCAGTTATTTGCTTAACTAATGCCCTGGCTCGTGTAACGCCCCTGAGTATTTTGCCTGTGTGGTGGTTGTTGGGTAATATAAAACCGTTCTGACATCAGTTCTAATTCGACAACAGTATCCCTTAAAAACTGAGTACTTGCAGGTTTACTTGAATCATAGTATACACCTACCAAAAACATCTCGTCATATCCAGATAGCAGCGGCTTCTTTTTGTATAGGCCACATCTGTAAGCTCGAATTGTTAAAAAGTTGAGCACCATCAATATTCAGCCGCAGCTCCACTAGCACCGGGGCTTCGCCTTTGACCATTTGTAGGAGACATTCAATCTGACGACGAAGGCCAGTGTGAACGCATGTCCCGACACCAGTTTCTCTCCTTTGAACAACTTCCTCAGTCCTCGTCTATAAATGCAAGCTTAGTATGGCGAATACGCGTATTATGCTTGAAGCATGTGCTTCGTGACTTACCGACTGACCCTCGAAAATTGACATATTAAGTATGTCATGCGTGTTGCTACAGACTTAGGGTGGACTGCTCGATGGTAGGAGATTATCTATGATCTACTGTGGAATCTTAAGGTGTGGTATAGACATTTTGGTGCATAGTGCAGACAGTCGTCCCGTTTTCTTCAATGAGCTCTGTGTTTTTGTCCCGAAATGTTAGCAGTGAACCCTGAGAAAATGCTAGCTGTGCTGTTGACCTTCTTTATTTATTGAACTATAGACTGTTAGCCTCTGGTTTTGAAGAAGTTGGGACACAATGGTTAAATACTGTCGCTCACAATCGTCAATTCCTGGGTATTTCCGAATTCAGTACTTCTATGGGTGTATTCATGCTCTACATCGATACTGTCCTTCCATAGGGTTTGTAGCCTCGCTCTGTTTTCTGAAGTGTTTGTGAGAATAAAAAGCGTTATTTTTGAAAATTTTTGTATATCACATAGTGTCTGTATTAGGTTATGTTGAGAACCGTGTATCTGACCATTTTTTGAACTCGTCCAATAGTCACTGAATTGTTTCCTATACCTCATCGATGTTTGTAGACTCTATCTCAGATTCGCATACATTGCCTAATACTTTAGTTAATCTAGTTAGCTGTTCATCACCTCCGGTTGTTTAGCATCACTGAAGTCATGCTACCACGTTCTGCTGCTTCCTTGTGTATCTCAGTTCACGTGAGGCTACATAAATCCTGTGTCTTTTACACTAGCCTCTGATTGCAGATTATTAGCGGTCTTTACTACCAGATATGATTGCAGGTTTCCTCAGAATGAATATTGCTGTCATCATCAGATGTTTTTAGTTATGGTTCCCTAAAGTGCCTGTCCCCTATTACCACTCACTTGTTGACATACAGGTGATCTCCATCGATAACTTCAACCTAGTAGGAAGTCGTGACCAATAAGGTGCAGCAGGTCGGGTGGGTGTGGACAAATACTCGCTGATAACACTACCTAGTGGCCGAGCTGTATCGTGAATTAGGAGAATTTTGAATTCATGGGCTGACCATTGGGTCGTGTCCCAGGGGTTTGGTGGTCTACGAGCTCGCCTTGTAACTGGAAGCTCCTGGGATCGACCCCCGTCAGTGGGTGCGTACTGTTTGAGAAGGTCAAAATAGGACGGTAGAAACAGCTGTCCCCAGTGCTTCCTGTTGGCTTTCCAATGGTTCTCTGACCGATGTCAGCTTATGGTGAAAATTCTGTAACCAGTGAAATCCCTGCAAACCAACACTTAAGTACTAGATGATCTGTGTCCATCTTTGACTTAATTCTAGTGGTTGCTAGTTAGAACAATACGTGCCTTGATGCTCCAAATGAGCAGTGACCAGTTACAGTAGGTGGTAGTTACCTGAGATGAATTATTGGAGAGAGTTATCGTTGTCGGCTTGGCACTCTATATACTTCTCGAACAGGTTTAGCTTCCCTAATTCAGCAATGAAGTCTGATGCTAATTATGACTATCTGTTCGCCTGACGATGATTATGGTGATGTTTTTGTTTACTCATAATCTCTGGATAATTTTTCATAACTTTACTCCTGTAAATTTTTTATAGGAAGAGCTGGAATCTCATGACAAGGGCGTTAAAGCCACTCATGATAAACCTATGCCAAAGGTTACCAAGCCGCATAATGACAATACACGTCGAATTATTCAACAACCTTCAAAATGATGAATTATTTTTAAAACAAATAATAATAAGTAACCAGTTACTTTTTGTAATTTTATTATTTTGTAAGCAAAATAAATAAATTTCAGTCTTATATCGCATTCAGGTTTTTTTTTCTAACAGTTCCATGTGATTGGATTGAATGCTTTCGGCGGTAGACTTCGACTTCGGCTAATAGACGATTCTACAGAATCTGTACATGTTGTATCAGTGTTTGTTGTATGTTGTTCTGAACAAGTTGCAGTGAAATGACCACGTCTTCTAGCTTGATCACCGTGTGGATAGTTATTATTATTATTTATTGGTAATGGAGTTGGTCTGGGCGATAATCCCAGTTGGCGTATTGTCATTGTTTCACTCAACCATTCCGGGTGAATGATATAATAGGGAGCTTTAGTCCTGTTGTCTGCGTGTACATTGAATAGTCCTCCTCTGTGTTCTGTCCTAGCACTGTTAGATGATAATACTTCTTTTCTAACTCTGCTAGGCGGAGATTCTCCTCTGTAGGCAGAAATCAAATTAACCCGACCATATTGTCGTTCTTGATTCAAGATAGGTGTACTTCGTTGTTGTGTTTGCTTTGTTGTTAGCCAGTGATATCGTGTATTTTCAACTTCTTTCAGAATATTTGATGATTGGGACAAAGGATCTTTGAACTGTTTTCTTCTTGTATGAAGTGGAGATTTATTACTACGTTGACTATTATTATTAATTGTTTGATTTCTGTAGAGAAAAAACAATTTATATAAGTTGAATAATAACAAAATTAATAATGTAGTGATACAATAACAAGCTGTAAATTATTCTAAGAAATTTCATTTATTATTAATAACAATGACTTTATCAGTAACAAAGCTTGGCGATCTTTGATAACAAGAATAATGAAAAACAGCATGATTAAACAAACAAATGTTCAGGTAGACATGGTAGTCGATATAGGCTAAGAAAAACAAATGAACCGATTTAGTACTGATAGATTGTAAGGGAGGCAAATAAATTATGTTTCCTTGAATTTAGGAAGTCGTGTGATTACCTTGATATGATTATGAGCAATAAATTGTGCTCGAAACGTCATCAGTAAATATTACTGTATAACACTGTGAGACTATCAAAATAAAAATTTACCCATAATGGAATTACATTCTACCACAGTCCCCAAGTTTTATTCTTATAAATTATGTTTCAATGAAGGTGTGATAAGATTAAGGGATGATAAGGGAGGGGTTGAAAATATAAGTAAGGGGTGGTGGAGAAGTTATCAGTTGGTTAGGTCTTAATAGGCCAAGGTGGGGATAATGACAGTATGAACTGTTTTTGAATGCATAGTTTAGACTTAATAGTTTTTCGAATGCCTATCGTCTCAGCTATTAGCAGTAGACGAATACGAAGTCTATTGGGAAGATTCGTTGGGATGCGGTGAATCATACTGAATGCTTTCGTTTTCCTTATTGAATGACCACTATCGACTAAGTGTGACAAAACGGAGCTACGGATGGTTTTTGTCTGTCGTCTGATAAACCATGATGGGAAATGTTCGGTAACACGTTAGCTAAGCTGTCTATTAGTGTGCCCAACATGGCTGTCATTATTATTATGACCAATTACACAATGTATATGCACGATCTTGTTATCCTGTTGACAGAACTGTGATTGGTTCACACCTTGGGCTCCCAGTAGAACATCACTTCGGCTTCAACAGCGCATCGACTATTTATCCTATTCTCTGTAGTCCAAATTAGCTGCCCCACTATTACCCATCACTTCTTACGATCTCCTCTGTGTCACTATCGGGCACATGCCCAACTTGTCGTCGGGTTCCATTGTAGAGTTTGCATCACGCGCGTTGTCATTTGCCAACCTTCTCAGCGTTTGCGTGTGCAGTCCATCTCCATTTACTTCGGAATATTCGTTGGCCAGTACGCTCTTGATTGATTCCTTTCCAGAGTTTCTTGTTACTAATGCGTTCTGACCGGCCATTACATCTTCAATATGGAGCTAGCGAAGGCAGCTGTTGATAAATATCTGCCATAACTTTTTGGAAATGCTTTCTGTGACGTGCTGGCTAAGTTTCTGACCCATAAAGAAGAACTGACTTAACATTCGGGGATTTCTACTCAATAAAATTAATAGATATATTGAGAATTCATCTATGCATCTGGTTGTGATGTTTCTTGATATGTGTTCGGAAAGATTATAGACATAGGCATTCAAGTACCAAACTCTACAACATACTGTTAAACTGCTTGTCTCGCATGTTTCTTGCTCGTCATGTTTTGATTATAACATCTGGTGTAACTCAACATGGTTACAACATTACGGCGAATGGTGTGATAAAGCTTAACAAACATTAGTCGGGAATCACATTAGATGTAGACAGAAAGTGCCATTTAGTTATTTATTCCAAAAGTAGCAAGATCTACAATTTTTATTACTCTTAAGTTATTTGACCTTTAGAATTTAGTGTATCATAGTGATGTACCAATAAATGCTAATTTCCATTGAATCTTACAGAATTCTGTCGTAAAATAACGTTCTGGACAGTTAATTTTGTATGGTTTGACTAAGTGAGTAGATGACTCTCGATGGATATTAGTATTATGTTATTCTTTATGACAGTGCTCAGGAGAAACAAACGTGAAGAAACCTGACAGGTTTTAGACCAGGAAGAGGATGTGTTGATCATATATTCCCCCTTCGATAGATTCTGGAACATAGGAATACTTACTGGCGTCCAACACGTGCCATATTTCTTGACTTGAAGGCGAAGTTCGACTCCGTCGACCGACAGATATTACGCCAATGTTTGGCTGTGAAGGGGGTCTCAAGGAAGTACATCCCACTACTCAAGGTACTCCATTCGAACTCACGAAGTTGTGTAAGAGCTTATAGAGATTGATCATCTAAAGTAATCACAGTCAGGGGTGCCCACTCTGCAACGTTTCTGTTTAATTTCATCATAGATGTACTAATGGACTTAACCCTAACACACTCAAGTGACTCATGGATTGGCTCTTTACTATGGAATAATCTCGTTGACTTAGATGATAAAATCATCCTAGGTGAAGATGCTGACGAAATGCAGAGTCTTCTGAACACCTTCAGCAGCAATCTTCGAATGTTTGTCTTTCGATTTCTTCCTTTCAAATGTAAGATGATGCTACAGGACTGGGTTACATCGACTTCTAGCTTAAAGATAGGGAGTGAAGCGGAACAGCATGTCGACCACTGCACTTATTTTTGGGAAGTTGCATCAGCCCCAGCGAGTTGGTCACCGACTGAATCTCAGCACGGATACAGAAGGCTCGTTTGGCATTTGTCAACTTACGCCATCTCTGGCGTAGACTAGATATCCAGCTAGCTTGTTATCACTCAGAGGACTTGTGTACTGATCAGCGGCAGTTCACTCTGTCCTCATTCATAGCTGTGAGTGGTGAACGTTGAAGGTGGAAGATATGAAAAGACTAGCTTTATGACACCATAGGTTTCTGAGATCTATCTGTCGTAATAGGACGGGTAATATTGAGGTTAGGTTTCAGTTGAGTGCTAAGGAAAGAGGAAAAGTCGACCGATGAGGTGAGGTTTTGAAGTTACATCAATCGAGATGGTTAGAACATGTGTTACGCATTTATGCCGAGCCATCGTCTTCCTTGACGAGCCATGTTAGCTGGCATAGGATGAGGTTGGTTGGAGAAGAGCTAGTAGTGGTCAAACAAAATCGTGGAATCAGTACATAAAATCTTAGACAGTTATTTCGAGCCTTGTAACGACATTGAGGTCTTCGGGATTCTAAGAACTAATTTTTGATATGGCTCGATATCATTCTGAATGGGGTGGGGAGATGCAATCACTCTTTGTGGCCTTGCATATCCAACAAAACCCTATTGTTTTCCTATGTTCCTATTCTTTCTCCTTCCTATCTCTGCTTATTATATCGTTCTTCCGAATCTCTTTTTTTTATTCCTTTATGGTGTTTGGCAAGTTGAACTGCTACACTTCTGTGCAAGGGTGTATGTTGAAACCAGTTGGTCAGTCAGTCTGTGACGGCTATTGATTGATTAGTAATGAGCGATAAAATGAGTTCGATTAAAAATACGCAAATATAACTATCCTGATAAATTTATTAGTACGCATTTAGCCGATCTTTTCTGAGATCAAACTTTAGGTGTGAAAAAAGTTTCCCAGTCTATATGGTTGTTTATGTCCATTGACTCATATCCATTTAACTACTAACATTACTAGTTATTTACCTCGATCTCACACAAGCTGAGGAGACAGTCGTATGACAGCTCATACATGCCATCTGTCGAGTGGGACCCGAATGGGAAACGACGAGTTGGGTTTGGGTCCGAGGGTGTCATGGAGGAGATCAGACACTATGGGCAGTCCTGAGGCTAAGTAAAGAGGACCACAGGGAATACGACAAAGTGTCGATGTGCTGTTGAAGCTGAAGTGATATTCCAGTCGGAACCCATGGGAATAATAATTATAAAAGATCTCAATCGCCCGAAAAAGGTTTCTCATGTACCAGTCTATGAACAATGTATACTGGGTGGAAGCTGATGATACTGCCTAGCATTAGGACCCTGTTCCTGAAAGTCAAGTGCATGAGCCAATAAACTACACCCACCTATTTTCAAAAATACAGCAGTGAATTTTATTGTATGACAACTATGCTGGGTGGTTGATAGACGCCCAACATTAGTTATAATCTGGTTTCCAACAAAAGCATCTATTGCAGTCCTACAGGGGGTCAATGGAGGGGCCAAATAGCTTAGTGGTAACGTCTCTAACTTCAGCACTGGGTGACTCGGATTCGAATCTCGGAAGGGATATGAATTCTTTCGGGATTGCAGGTACGCCCTACTGAAGAGTGTCAAGGCTTTCTGCCGACTGGCTCCAAGCATCTAACAAATCTGTGGCTTTGTTGTCGTATGTAGCACGGTGAGTATTTTATATATTATGGTAAATCAAATCAGATAGATAGCTACTTGGGTTCTTGTGAGAAGCTGCGACGAGTGGGGTCTACTAAGTAGGGTGTGAGGATAAATACTCACCATAGATGATATTTGTTAGTGTTTGCACTATATCGTGAGTTGGTGGAAGCTGAAATTCATGGGCCTCAGTGGATGAATAGTCTACGAGCTTTCCATGTAACCGGAAGGTCCTTTGTTCGAAACCCGCTGGTGGGTGCATACTGCCGACGAGTAGCGAACTAGGATGAAACAGCTGTGTGTCCAGTACCTCAGTATTGGTTTTCATTGGTTCTCTAAGTTACATCAATCCATGGTCAAAGTCATGACAAATTATATCCCTACAAACTACTGTAAAAAATAACTTTATCAAGTGCTTGTAAGGTAGTTTAACAACTAACATGGTTTAAAATAATAAAGTGTTAAGCAGGTAGCTTATTATATGAAATAAAAGGACATATTAATGATCGATTGTATTTTAATAGGTCAAGTTGTCCAGGGCAGACAATAGTTGAAATCTTTATTGTGTTTTCTATACACATTCAGGTTAGAGTACACATGTGATTCATCCAAAGTACATCTTAGTACTCTCTTAGTAATGTTGAGTTAGAATTATGTAAAGTGTATAGCCGAGGCTTTTGCAATACATAAAATAAAGTCAGAACTTTGTGTACAAAAACAGTTTGTACTATCTCATTCGTTACCATGGTCTTGATTTTATTTTACTATGTAATTCACATAAAAAACTTTGTTATCCTTCTTTATTCCATATTTTTTTAATTTTATTTCAATTTATGTTATCATATTCTAATATTTTATCTAGTCTACTACTTTGATAGACAATAACAATCAGTTTTTTTTGTGTATGTGTTCAAGTTTGACAGTGAATAAAAATACTAAAGGGCGATAATAATATTGGTGTATAAGATTATGAGTCACAATTGACTAGATATATGAATGAATAACTAAATAAATAAATAGAGGTCAACCTAAAGTTCAATAGACGACATGTGTGAAACAGATGATCGGAAGACACAGTAAATTCGGAAATGTGGACATGTGAATATAATATGATGGCGACGACATAGGATGAGTGAAATGTTGTCAAAGTGTAAACACTAAACATTATTAGAAGTTAATTGGGGGATGGTGACTAGCAGTGGAATCCAGGATGCGCATTTCGTCCTGTTTTGGGACTCGCGTCAGCTGGATGCACCCGCATTCCGTAGTGAGTGATGATTTTCCCACCAGTAAGGCTCGAACTCAGTGCCCATAGTTTCAAACGCCAAAGCGTTATCCACCAGACATGTCAACCTGAGACGGAGCACTTAGGTCCAATCAATCGACAGGAAAATCTGAAATTGAATTTAACTCATCACATATTTCTAATGATTAATGTCGAATTTGACTAAGACACTTAGAAGACAAATTTCGCGAGATGATATCGTCATTTCGTGGTTTCTTTACCATCGCTTTACAACTAACATAGTTCACAATATTGATTAAAAAAATGCATGACAATTACTCAGTTATATAAAACTGAGACCCATCTTAGATATGTCGAATTCCCCACAACATAAAATCGCAAAATGGATTACAGAGGTCCTAACCCCCGTAGGAGACTCATTATCAGATCATTGTGTAAAAAGTTCATCTGATCTGAACAATATGCTTGACAGGCTGAACATTAAGGAAAAGGTTATGTACTCAGTCGACATAGAATCTTTATTCACCAGTGTTCCTCTTCATGAAACTGTTGATTTCATTTGCGATTACATCACAAGCAATGGGATACACTTAACTATTCCTGTCACTTACATCAGAGACATTATCTTAATACGTACAGAAAATATCGTATTCACCTTCCAAGAAAAGGCATACAAACAAATCGATGCAAGGTATGCTATGAAAATTTATGCTATATAAACGTTATAAGGATGATACACTCGTTATTGGTAATAATAGTAAGTCCATTGAAAACTTTATTACTCTGTTTAATCATATTCACCCAAATATCCGAGTGACTTCCGAACTCGAATAAAATAACAAACTCGGTTTCCTGGATATTTCAGTGACCAGGAGGGGCTATGGAACGATAAAGCTATCTGTTTTTCGTAAACAGACATGGAGTGGACAATATCTTCATTTCACCAGTTTTGTTCCTATCGAGTATAAACGTTCCCTAGTGAAATGTTTGTTCTCAAGGGCCCGAAAAATATGCACGAGTAACACAGTGATGGATGAGTTTCGACGTATACATTCAGTTTTATTAGCTAATGGTTATTTTAGAAAACTTTATCACTTGTCACAGTAAGGACAGACCACATCTTAAACAGACAGCTTCTGTACCAAGGAAATCTATCTTTGTTAACTTACCACTCAAGGGCGATCAAATTATGCAGTTGACAGCTCAAAGACTTCGGACAGCCATCAAGTGCACATTCTACGCCGCATCTCTTTCCCTCACATCTCGAAAATTTTCTATCCCTGTACTTACGATTAAAGGACGAAAGTCTGTGGACTTTACTTCAAACTGTATCTACAAGTTCACTTGCAGTTGCGGTGAAACTTATATAGGTAGAATCAATAGAATGTTCCAGTGTCATCGAAAAGAACATGTTCCAAAATGGCTACTAAATCACATAGAAAATCCCAATGCAATTAATCTGAATGGAAATCCATCATGGTCCATTGCAAAGTACTTAATTAATGTAAGGTCACAAAATCAATATTAATGACAGCTTCACAATTATTTCGCATAACTCTAATTCAAGGTAATTGAAGGTGATGGAAGCACTTTGGATTAGTCGCATACATCCTAAACTATGTGTACAAAAAACAATAGACTTCAACCTTTGCCTACCATGGACTGCTTGATCTATTCAAATATGAATGGCTATTAGTATGAACTTTTGTTTTATATAACTGCGTAATTGTCATGCATTTTATTTTATCAATATTGTGAACTATGTTAGTTGTAAAGAAACTGCGAAATTATGTCATCTCGCGAAATTTGTCTTCTAAATGCCTTTTTCAAATTTATGAAAGTGACTAATTGTTTTAATAATGTCAGATTGCCATATATGCATATTTTTCTGTATGAGTGTTCGTCCATTCTGTTTATTATGTGGAAAGTACGTCGAAACATGATAATATTTTTACAGAGGTCACAACATTGGATTGAATATTTTTGTATTTTTTCTCATCTGTTTTGTTTCATTAGAGTCTACCATATGCGTAGTAAGTGTATCCTTTCCCACCTATTTACTGCATTCGCTGTGGTTAAATATATGCAGGGCTTCAGAGGTCAGCCTTTCTTTATGGGGTGAATGAAAGCTTTCTCCTAGAATTTCGACATTGTCGAAATCGATCTTATGTCCGCTGTCTATAGGTGCATTGCTATAGCTGATCTTTTCTCTAGACTCTTTAATTCTACTTCATTTCCAGGCTGACGTTTAGTGCACAGACTGTGTTCATACACTCTAACCTTCACCTGTCTACTACTGTCCTTTATATAGCAAGCTTCACATTCTGAACACTTTATCCTACAGATACAGTTATTTTGTGTCATTCTGGGAAACATATCTTTGACATTCACCAGAGCTTTCTCTAGACAGTTAGAGGGCTTGAAATAGACTTTAATATTATATGAATCAAGTACTCTTGAAGTTGTTCAGCTGTATCCTATCGATATAGAATGGCTATCATATCACCTTGATATGATTACGAGCAATAAACTGTACTCGAAACGTCATTAGCGACTGGCACCAGCCAATATCATCGATGGTGAGTATTCGTCCTCACACCCGATATGCTATACCCTACTGGTTACTGCTTCTCACTAGAACCCAGGTAATTACCTAACTTAATAGGGCCAGTGAAACAGAAGTTAGAAATCATGAACCAATGTATTTTGATTCGGAAGCAGAATGGTAAATTGCTCGCCTCGTAATCTGAAGTTCCCGAGTCTCATTTCTATTAGTGTAATGGTCATGAACTGATGAAGAATCCTGGGTTGGGACGAAAGAACTGTCCAGTGTTTCTCTAACTGATGTATCCCCTCGTGAAGAAATCTTTCTCGACTTGTAGCATTGTCAATAAAACATAATAATCAAATCTTATGAAATCCAAATGCGCGTCGGTGGCTTGGTGGTGGAATGCTAGCTGACCATGCCTTATGTGGTCCGGCGTTTGATTCTCTGCCGATGAACTCCTAAACCTCCCTAAGCCAGCAATAAAAATGGTAAAGATGGAAGGTTTGGCATGAGGCTAGCAACTCCAACCCATAAAAGAAACACTACAGCTACCGGAACTTCAGAGCTCAAGGCTGAAGCCCACTATGTTCCACTGCGAACGTAAAAGAATAAAGTAAAAATAAAATAATATGAAATCCAAATGCGAGGTGACAGTTAAATACCGTGTCATGGCAGACAACGTACTGAGTTGTAGACACATATTCTATGACAGAAAATACACTCATTATTATTATTATTATTGCTATTACTTAACCGTTATTGTACTTCACATCTAAATTATATTGGAAGTCTAAATTAGAAAATCTCAAAGCTGATCACATTTTGAAGTTGTTGCGTTGTATTATACGCAAATGTTGTGGCGCCAGAAGTGACAAAGACAGGAATTCAAGTGATTATGGAAAGGACAGAGGTGATGAAGATAACCAACCAACAAACAACAACAAGTAGCAGTCACTATCACCGGGAGAAATTCGAAAAAGGTCACTTTCTATACTTATCTAAGTAGCATAGTTTCTACTATAGGCGATACCACGAATCAGCATGTCAAAACCAGCCAGAATCGAAAAGTCAAGATAGACAGACATTCATCACTCAGAAATCAGTTTGGAAATCTTCTGAACTCACTCAGCTTAAAGAAGGAAATTCAGATTTTCAACACCAATGTGCAGTCAGTCACTTCTTCTATGTGGATCATAAACCTATCCAGTGAGTCACGAAAAGTATTTCCTATAGGCTGATGCAGACTTTTATGAACAGCTGCCTTCACTGGCTCCATATTGAAGGTCAGAGAAAGAATTAGCAACAAGGAACTCTAGGAATGAACCAATCAGAAACCTGTTTCCCAACAAATATTCGGAAGAAAGGGGAGATGGGCAGGGTACACGCTCAGGAGAGTGCCGAGTGATACCGTACGCCAGGCGAGTTGAGCGTGTGTCTGAGAGTGACATGGGGTGTATCATGTGAGGCGGAGGAGAAGAGAGCTTATGGACAGTCGCGGGGCCACTCGAAGAGGAATTTAGAGAACAGGACGAAGTAGAGATGTTCTGTTGAAGTTGAAGTAATTTTTCACTCGGAACCCATGGAGAAAATAATAGAGTAATGGCGCCAATAAAAAATTAAAGGTTGATTGGGATACTACAAGGACCTAATTAGATCCTTCACTGTTATTAAAAGTGACATCACTATATGCTACCATCTCAAATGATACAAAAACAGTTTAGTAATGAGAATATAGAACGCTATTAGTGAATGGGACTTACTTCAGAGGTTTCTTTGGAACACTGTCTGGATTATTTGGCATAAATGATGATAAGGCCAATGTGACAGGCTTTGAAAATGAATTACCAAATGTGTTTATCGCAAATGTTTGTTCTGCAATAAGTAATAATAATTATAAGAGGTAGGAGGAATAAAAAGGTCTCTTCGAAATAAATAATGCAGTTACATACTTTTTATAGTAGATTAACAATTGAACTATTTGTTTATTTATTGTACGCCACTGTCTTCTCCTCTTTGTTAATGTTGTCCTGGTAACGCTGATCGGTAAATTAGTCTATTATGTGTAAAAGCGTTTCAATCAATTTGGTCAGTTTAGCATCGCTCAATCATTCTTCCTCTTTCACTCTTCCCTTTCTCTGAAATCAAGATAAATGTTGTAGGTCAATTCGACGACACACACACATCATAACCGCCTATCACAAAAATGATATCTATCATCCTGTGTTTGCCTTCTGTCTGTCTGCTAAATTTATGGGCAAATACGAAATCCCTCACTCGATCGATGCAGATTCAATTGCCTATTATTTAGTAGGATCGTGATAGTGGGTAGGAGTAGGGAAATTTGTCTCTGAAAAATACAAATACAAAAATTTTCTCTATTTAGGATGATTGTGGGAACATACTGTTGTTGTAGATATTGACCGAGAATAGAATAGAATAGAGACTGAGACTCTTCGTCACAACGTGGGAGGGGTGGACAGGGGGAAAGCGTACAAGTTTCCGCTAACATGACACAGACATATATACATGTAACCGGACAAACATACTCGATAGACGAATGTTAGTGAGTATTAACTTAGTAACAGAAAAATATATAGTCAGAATTTTACGGGTTGGCATACGTATTATACACACTCGAGTCATTCTGTAAGTTTCGAAGACAGCTATATACTCAACTGTTGGTTTTCAGGGACTCGATTTGATTGGTTACAGGATTTCATCATTAGCTGACATCGGTTGGATAACCATTGGAAAACTAGCACTGCAATAGTGGACAGCTGTTTCTTCCTTGTCCTGGGTTTGAACTCTGGTGGTTGGTGCATACATCTGAAGACTACCAAAGTAGGCTGACTAAACAGCTGTCCACTACTTCCTGGTGATTTCTCAATGGTTCTCTAACTGATATCAGCTGATGATGAAATCCTGTAAACAGCTACATACAATTAGAAGTGATGGTTACTGGACTCATGGCTCTGGACATCCCTTTATTTGGAAGTCAACAGTGAAGTCTAATTACATCCCAGTAGGTTTTAATGTTCTCTTCGAGATTTTGAGTGTACAGTCGCTCTTTCAATTTCGTTCATTGTTAACAGACCATAGTAATACTAGTCAAACGGTATAATTCCTAATTTAGAGTGTGTATCAGCATTTCAGAGAAAAAAACAAGAGGTTCAGCAAAGGTATCTGTCTTTTCGGCGATTTCTTTTTCAAAAGCTGTACAGTCCCATTTATATACATGCGCATACATTGATACAGTTATTATCTAATTCCACTTAATAACAAAGGAGATTAAAGGTGATTATTATTATTTATTATTGTTCGTTTGGGTTTCAGGTGGAACATACGCCTTCAACGGCAGTTTTCCGTATTCATTCTATTTTCCGCGGTCGTCTTTAGTCAGCTAGCCAAACGATTGCCCATAAGCTGTCATCTCCTACTCACACGATCTCCGTGTCACCCACAGGCCCACTCACCTCACTCGTCGTTTCCCACTCGCATTCCATTCGAGTCTCTATCTGACGCGAGATGTCAGTGTGTGTCGAATTTGTCTCCATTTTCTCCCACATATCTTTTGAGAGATAGGTCCTTGGTTAGTCTGTCCCCATTGTTTCTTGTTGCCATTTCTTTATGGTTGGTCATTTGCTTTCCAATATGAAGTCAGTAAAGGTAGCTGTTGGTGGAAGTCTGCAGTCACCTGCTGGAAATACTTTTGGTGACATGACAACTTTTTGACTCGTATAGAAGGACAGACTTGACATTGGTGTTGAAAATCTGAATTTTCTTCTTTAAGCTGAGTGAGTTCAGAAGATTTCCAAACTGATTTCGGAGTGATGAATGTCTGACTATCTTGTCTTTTCGATTCTGGTTGGTTTTGACATGCTCATTCGTGGTGTCGTCTGTAGCTGTAGCTATGCTTCAACTAGAGGTGATAATAATTTTCAACTTGATATGATAATTTGAAGGTGTGCATATAGATTACAAGGGGCTAAAAAACGAATTACTCAGGATTAGAAAACAGTTGTGTTATCTGTAAAATAGTTCTTCTTAAGAATGTGAACAGGATGAACATGGAAACAAATTGAAATGATGGTTTTTATAGGTGAAAATGAAAACAGAAATAAAGGGGATGAAAAAAAATGAAACCAAAGGAAACAATCCGAACTAGATCCATAGTGAATGTAGACGCCGGACTAACTTCTTCTGGGCACGAAGCTCCGGCTTTTCGATGCATATGACGAAGACGTCTGTGGTACAAGGAAGCTGGAAACACATTACCTTTGGTAGATTTTTATTTACCTTGTGTATGACTCTGAATGATAAATAAGTCAGTTGAGATGCTCTAACAAATAATGACGAGATATTAAATAATGGCGGTTCTGATTGGATCAGTGCCTCCTGTTCGCAGCCATGCTGGGCAGTATTCTCTAACCCGTTTTGATAGAACCCAGATAGAATGACATGTTTACCTAACTGTGCACTAACAAGTGAACTGATTTATCCACAGCCGGTTATTAGTAAGTGAAAGAACTTGAACTATATAACATTGATAATGATAGTAATATTAATTATGTTAAAACAAGTTAAGACAGTGTTAAAAGATCGTTTTAAATGAATCAGAAATAATACTAATAAGAGGTAGAATGAAATATTATTATTAATAATAATAACAGTTAATAAGTAAGACATATTTCTTTGGTAGAGTCAGAGTGACCTCCATTTCCTTCTGTACACAGACACCGGATTTATAAACTCTAATTGCACAAGCCTCCACAATTGCAAACATCTTCCTGTTTGTTTGTCTGTTTGCTCACAATAGTGAATGACTTGACAGTGCATCAGTATCATGTATATAGTCCACAAGATGCTTTGTTATTGAAATTTTAGGCACTTTGACTTCAGCTGTTTACAACCACTTCGGCAAATTCCCCATCGTGTGAGTAGACAACCGCCTTTCTGTACGGCCTATGTATTTGCTTCCACAAACACACATTCAAATTGATATAAGCAATTTGAAGTGTCGAGGACTGGCGACTGGTCTTTCCAAGATTGCTGAAGCATCTGCTTGGTGGTGGCGTTAAGGAAGACGAGTTTTGCAGCATAATAAGTTCTCCTGATAGCATCTGTCGAGTTTTCATTTGACTCCTTCTTGTGCACATCATCTCCTTCGAACGGTAAATTGACATTTATATCTTTGGACCTGTTTGGACAGTTATACTGGGGCTCGTTTCTTTAGAATATTTACTGATAAACTTCTCAGGATATTCATTCTTAGATAAAATATCCTTCAAAGCCTTTATTTCATTATATTTAATTGTACTGTCAGAATACAAATTTGTCGTCCTTTGATGAACAGTTTTCCGGCTAAGTTCTTTATATACTGAACTGCAACAAAAATTTTGAAATGTGTGTACTATCCCGTCCTCTAATTAACGCTAATTCATGCTGAAGTCTATATGGGAAACTTGATGTTCTCTTACGCATGTCATTTTACTTGTTTTATAGCCATTGTGTTTTGAAATCATTTTCGGCTGAAGAGAATACATGAATAAGGAAGACATTATTGAGTGCTGCAAATATGTTTTTCGTAATTATTTTGTTTAAATTTGCTAGCGGAACTAAGCAACGTGCCACTAAGTCAGCTGATTACTTTCGTAGTACACAAACACTAGGCGGCGGATTCAGATGCTGATAAAAATCCGATTTTTTTTTGAGTTTTTATTTTTATTTTATTTTGATAACTTAATTTTGTTTCTTTGCCTGTTCCTTAGTTGCTTATAATTCTTGTATTCATTTAGATCTCTTACATAGTTTCGTATTATCTACTTTGTTTCTATGTGCATCCTGAGTAAAACTCACTCATCAAAATATTCATATTATTATTGCATAACTTCTTTTAACAACTGTTTGTGACAACTCATCACCTTTGTTACTACCCTAGTTTCACTAACACTTAATTTTCTTGACCTGTATTACCAACCTTCACTTGTTTAGTTAAAATTAACCTTAACCGATTGTAACTTTGTTTGACAAACTTAAGGTACACATACATACAAAACAATGCATATATATTTGCGATTGTACAGCTAAGAAGATGAATTCGCCGAAAAGAGACTCTTCGCTGATCTACGTGTTTTGTTTTCATTAATGCCTGGGGATTATCCATGAATTAAAAATCTGATTTAGCCTACTGGAGGTGCTTTTCGTGACGCGTGAGCTATGTCTATGAACAATACAGAAGAATTGAATTAACACTGGTATTGAAAATCTGAATCTTTTTGTTTATACCGCGGTGTGTAGCAGATTTCCAAACTGATTTCCCTTTCCGATTCTGACTGCCTTTGATATCTTCATCCATACCGTGTGCCTGCAGCTGAAACAATGCTGCCTGGCCAGATAACTGAAGGAAGTGACCTCTTTAAAATTTCTTCTGCTGATGGTGATTGGTGCCTGTTGTTATTGCTGGTTGGTTATCTTCATTGCTTCCATCTTCTCTATGCTCAGTTGAAATCCTGTCTCTGCTTCCATCTTCTTCTACCAGGTTTTTGGTTTTCGGTTGTATATCTTCGAGTTTATGTGATAATAGACATTAATCATCTGTGAAATCCATGTCTTCTAGAGGTTTCCTATCGGTCCAATGTATTCCTATCTTCTCTATATCCACTTAAGGCGTTCCGCATAACTGAGTCCATCATAATTAAGCATATCATCGTGGGAGATAGCAGGCAGCCTTTACTTATTCGTATCTTCACCTCAAACTCTTTGGTTAATTTTCTTTGTCATTGTCATATAGCTGTTGAATGGGCTTGATAAAGAGTATTTATGCACTTTTTTGGTGCCCTCAGCTCTAAATTCTATTTCTCACCTGAGTTTTGTGATAAAAGTATTTTTATGAAGTTCATTATGAGCATCAGTTGGCTCTCGTCACTCTACTTCATTTTGGTTATCCTTCCTTTCAGAACATCAGAAAAATGAGAATAGTATTCAGAAACTAAATCTCACGTAAACGATGCTTTACTGAACAAGAAACAATCATTTTTGATGACTTCCTGAGCAAGTTTCACACCTTCTACAATACGCTGCTGTTGTAACTGTCTCGTTGCTAGTTAACTCCCTATCTGATATCAAAACTGAATAGCCTTTTGACGAACATAAGCAACCGGGTCGAGCTAAATGAGTCCCTCCAAATGTCAGGCAGTTAACTTTACCTTCAGGTATAAATACGATCTACACGAACTTATTCGTTCACAAAATGCTTACGGCATAGAGGGCAAAGTATAAAATACTTTGGAATAGTTCTACCCTCCCACCTTTCTTGTTTATCCCATATCTTGTCGATTCCTTAGAAAA